AAGTTACCAACCCAAGTTACTGAGCCAAAGTTACCAACCCAAGTTACTGAGCCAAAGTTACCAACCCAAGTTACTGGGTTAACGACTTGTCACAGTCACTCGGCCAACGCTTAAGACATAGAGCTGCTGTGAAATTAATTGGAGCGGGCGGTGCAACAACCGCAGAACTGTTGTTCAATTCAGCTCTATTACCTCGCCAGAAAGATGCTGAACCTGGTCAGGATTATATGGGCTGTGCAGGTCAGCTCTCTTCTTAGCAACTCGTTAGAAGGATTAGTATCGACTGTTCAGCTCCACGTCGTTTGAACTCTGTCAGAAGAGAGCTGAACTGAAAACAGTCCATATAATCCTGACCAGGTTCAGCTACGAAGAGAGCTGAACTGAACAGTCCATATAACCCTGACCAGGTTCAGCTAAGAAGAGAGCTGAACTGAACAGTCCATATAATCCTGACCAGCTTCAGCTAAGAAGAGAGCTGAACTGCACAGTCCATATAATCCTGACCAGGTACAATAAATTGATTTATTGTAGGCTGTTTGGTCCAGTCATCATCAACTCATGGGAAGGATGACCGAACTTGCGATGGTAATGAAAATAAAGTTTAATTAATTAAACTATTGTGAAACAAAATCCGGGCAGCATGAATCTAGGTCGTGTTCGTGAAGCTGTGAACCGCGTGCTGGGCAGCATATTGTATATTCTGTTCACCGATCTTCTCCGTAACATGTTTGAATGATGCAGTGCCAGCCAGCTAAAGCTAGGAGTGTGCTCATCTCTGATGAGCTCAAAGCCTCAAACATGAAAGAAGATTGATCAAGAGAATACGATAGCTGCCAGAAGAGATCAGGGATGGTTTCTTTACAGTTTTCCGTAGCTGTTAAGTAGTTTTTATGTCGTCGTCGACGTCATTGTCGTTGTCGTTGTTGTTGTTGTTGTTGTTGTTGTTGTTGTTGTTGTTGTTGTTGTTGATGATGATGATGATGTTAATAATAGCATAGCGGTCCTTACATTATTATACCTATTTCTGTAGGACAGACCTGGTAATGATTGCTGCGATGGTCCTCAGAGCCTTTCAGACTCTTCGCATAACTTTTTTTTTTGTTTTTTTCTTTCTCGCGGAGTTGTGGTACGTATGAGGAATGAAGAGAACAATCAAATCCAATTATTAGAGATGCATGTAGGCTACCAGCATGGCCCGGGACCACTTGCCCGACTGGGCCAAAAAAAATCAAGGTCCTTGCACGGCTGGGAAGCCCGGGCAAACAAGGTGACCCGGGCGGCCTGGCTGGTAGCCTAGAGACGTCCACAAATTAGATGGCTTGAGGAGTGGATTCCACATCGACCAACGAGTCCAAACAGTCAGCGTGAAGTGAAAATAGGGTTCGACACTCGAACGCACTTAGACGAGAGAATAGAGAAATTCATGTTTGCTCGTGTGATTACTAAAATAGGTCCCCCAAATGCACTTTTCAGTGCTGGGAGGGGGTAACCAGGGCTGAAAACTGGGGGGTCCCTGTTAACCGCTTGTGTTGATCAGGACAAGCGGTTAACAGGTAACTCGTACTTTTTTCAAGTTTCCTTTTTAACTATTTGCAGGGTTGTGCCGGCGACGGGCCGGTTGGACGCCAGGTGCTCGGGCCAAAAAGTGGGTCAATTTTTTTTCTTTTCTTTTTTTGAAAGCTTGGTCGGATTGCGCTCGCCGAGATCTCCCGGATCCTCAAAGAAAACTGTGAATGGAGAAGTTTCATTCTATGGAGGTTGGGGGGGAGGGGGGTGTATTTCAGGGGTTAGGGCTTGGGCGGCGAAAAAAATGGCCTCTCTCTCTCTCTCTCTCTCTCTCT